TCTTAATCAGGATATTAATAAGGAACTAGCAGTTTATGAAGCTTTTGGAATAATCCACCAATTTTTTAAAATTAAACACTATCTAAAGATTTGCATCGAAGCGTTTTTTTTTGATAGTGATTTTAATCACTGTCAGATATCATTATACTTGATCCAACTATGCCACGTCACCACTGTGCCGCGACCCCCCTGTGCTGGGTTTTTTTTCTTTGGCTTTTTAAAGGAGTGTTATGATTTCATTAAATACAGGAAACATTGACATCACTAATTAAACAACAGATGTGTTTTTTAATTGGTACACAATATATTCATAGTTTGTACCTAGACATAACTAGATAGAAAATATAGTATAATACTATTAGCCATTTAAGAATAGTAATGAATCACTACAAATCTTTGCTGTCTCAGAATTGAATCTTTTAGCACACTTAAAATACTTTTTATACCAATAAAAATTGTATACGTATGAATTAACCATGTATAAATGTACAGTTTATTTCAATTATACATACACACATTAATTGTTAGAGAATAGTAAAAATATAGCGTAGAGGGTAAAATTCATTAAGAATATTAATTTCCGAAAAAATATAATTATGTAAATGAAGAACATTAATTATAACTAACAAAATATTTTATTTGAATATGTTTATACATCTACAGGAATATTTAATTAGTAAAATTACTTGTAAAAAAACCCAGCACAGTGAAGACGTGGTATAGTTGGGTCCAATATAGATGATATATGACAGTGATTAAAATCACTATCATAAAAAACGCTTCGATACAAATCTGTAGATAGTCTCTAATTTTAAGAAATTGGTTGATTATTCGGAAAGCAAAATTAAGTCCTATTTCTATCATTATTCCTAATTAGTAGTTGATTTATAAGTATAATTTATGAATAAATATCTATTAAAACAATTCAACGTAGTATGAAATTAATATTTAATAATTTATTATTTTCATGTTTTCGGAGAAATTATAAAAAATTATAAAGTAATTATTACTTTTATGGCAAACGTGTATAAAAATTGAAAGACTTGGCACAGAACTTTTTAGATAATAATTTGTTTGTTAATTATGATTAAATAGTCTGCAAAAATGTTCATTAGAGTAACAAATATACTTTTATTATTCAATTTTTCGTGCTAATTTCAAATCAACAATTATATATTTTTCATCACCAATAACTTTTGACATTATTACTAATTAGTTTAAGGCTATAAGATATAACTAAATAGTTCTGAATATTTCGATTGTACTATCTATTTAACTACTAAGAGTTACATTGAATATATTAATATTTTTTTTGAAATGATTTATTACGATTATTACAGATTTTGATTTTTAATATTTTAAAAATAATCAGTGCAAAATATCATTTTTAACCTATTTTTTTGGTATTTTAAAGTTGATTTTTTGAAAGTTAATAATAAAAAAAAAGTTGAATTTAAAAAAAAATACGATTTTTGTAAAAGAATTCTTATTTATATTTTTAATTTTATAATGCTATAACTTTTTGAAAAATGTATGGATCAATATAATTTTTTTTTTTATGGATGCATGATGTTTTTACCTTTCATTTTGTATATATTTTTTATAAATTTGACTCTTTACCTTCCCACATGGGAGGTACACAAATGACAACTTTTTCACAAAAAAATGACTATTGAAAGTGTTCAGGAAAGTCTGACACTTTTAAAGATATCTTAAATTAAAGATAATGTAATATACTTTCTTATGGAAAAAAAAATGTCGGACTTTATTTTGTCTTCAGCGTGAAAATAGTTACTGAATGTTATTTATGTGTGAAAATTCTCAATTTTATATTTTACATTTTTAACTTTATAATGCTATAACTTATTGAAAAGTGTATGGGTCAATACAATTTTTTAATAAGAAATAATATTAATATCCCTCTTTTATTCGACATACTTTATCTTAATCAGAATATATATAAGGAAATAGCAGATTATGTAGCTATTGGAATAATCCACAATTTTTTTTAAATTAAATACTGTCTAAAGATTTGCATCGACGCGTTTTTTATGATAGTGTATTTAATCACTGCCAGATATCATTATATTTGACCTAACTACGCCACATCACCACTGTGCTGAGTTTTTTTTCATTATTATTGTAATAGATCACATAAATGAAAATCATAGTAATAATTTCTAAGTATTTTGGGTGATTACAAATATTCTACAATTGAAATATTAAGAACATAATTAATGATTTACTTTTACTAAATAATCCAATAAAAATATTTTTAAAAAAATCTACTCAATTGAGTGTATTAGTTGTGATCATTTGATGTATCGTTAAAAAAGTTGATCAAGTATGAGCTGAGAAAATAAATGAGAGCCATAAAAAAAAATCATATAGTAAAAAAATTTTAATATGAATAATAACTTTCTTCAAAAGAGGGGGGGACTACAGTGATTGGGTCTGTGATATTTATTTAAGTTATTGGATCTAAATGAGATAAAAATCAAATAATTAAACAATTTTTTTTAACTCAAAAACTTTTGTAAGGTATATTAAAATAATATAAAATACAAAATCAAAAATTTTAACACAAAAATAGCATAAGGTAGTCATTTTCACCGTGAAGACAAAATAAATTCCGAAATTTTTTTTTTCTATAATTAATTTAATTAAATTGGCTTTAAGATATATATAGAAGAGTCAGTATTTCCGGAACACTTTCAAAGGTTAAGTTGAATAAGATATTTTTTTGTGAAAAAGTTGTCATTTTGAACCCTCCTGTGGGCAGTTAAAGGTTCAAATTTATAAAAAAAAAATATACAAAATGATAGGTAAGTACCTCACGTATCATTAAAAAAAATTATATTGATTTTGTCATTTTTTAAAATATTATGGCATTATAAAGTTAAAGTATAAAAAAAATTTTCTTACAAAAATCGTATTCTTTTTTTATTAACTGTTTTCACCGTAAATACATAATAAATTCAAACATTTTTTTTTTCATATTAAAGTATATTACATAAGCTTTAATTTAAGATATATATAAAAGTGTCAAAATTTCCGGAACACTTTCAAAAGTTCTACTTTATATATGCATTTTTAAGTATTGAACCCCTCTTTTATAAAGCAAAATGGTCCGATT